TGTAGGGAACTGTCTGCGTACATAGGCATGTGCTAACGGGAAAAAAGGTATCCCGACTGTTGGAAGAACCATGCGTTACTCGGCTGCATACAACTCCCCTCTGATCCTTCCTGGGGACATGAGCAGTGTTTAGAATAGCTTTGGGAGGACCTGCTACTCAGTCACATATTTTATAGTCCTTACCTAAAACCAACCCAGAGCATATGTTTAAACACTTAGCTCCTGTGCAAGCAGCTTTATCACCTTTAGAAGTTTAAGGGGGTTGCTCTTGTGGTTAAGTGCTTTCCTGGACTGGAGCCTTACCAAGCAATGAGAATGCCTGGTTTGGCTCTACCTCTTGTACGGAAAGCTGATACGGTCTTCCAGAACATAGTGTGACGTCGGTCACCATGACCCCTTCCCTGCTGCCCAAGTCTCACGGGAGATCTGGTCTCCCTGTGCCCAGAGGTGTTGGGCCTACTGTCATTTCAGGAACTCGGGTCTGCCCCTTTGCTGCCTCTGGCAGTTCAGGACACTGAATTCCAGCTGCTCACAAAGTGGTGGTGAAAATGTTTTCACTGTTTAAACAGCAAGAACTGCTGCACTGGAAGTGCTGGGAAAGCTTTGCTTGGATAAAATATCTGCTCTTCCTTTTCTGCCTGTAAACTGCAGGATCCTAAGGGTTCTTCTCAGAAGTTACTCCATCTATGAGATGTGCAGTACAGGTGAACATGGCTGTACTTCCCCCATTTGCCCACAAGATAAGAGAATTTAAGTCAATTTTCCATAACCTCAGTAAGCTTAAATGAATGCAGTCTGCTGCCCGGAGTTAATCAGCTATGCCCAAGATGTGACAATTTTGTGTGCATAAAAATAGCCTTCATACAAGCTGTCTCTGTGTGCTGGAAATGTTAATATGCATTTTGTTTAACAGAAGGAAAAATGAAACATGATGCACATAACCGTTTCACAGCTACCTAATGCAGCCACAATTGATGTACTCCTCCGTGGTCTCGTACCTGAACCATATAGAACAACGAAGAGTAGATATTCCTAGCAGTACGTCAACACTGCTTTAGGGTCTGTTTTCATATTTGTTTAGGTTAGCTAACACTGACAAATTATTACAGCCTATTTGCTTGTGAAAACAGGCTTTCTTGGTACTTTCACATATTATGATATTGAAAACCCCAGTAGCTTACACTGCACCATTAGAACTTACAGCACTGCATCCTCACTATGGGACTGTGCTGCTGACTGCAAAGCCGGGCTCTGCAACGATGCAGCATTTGCTGCAGCTGTAACACCTTTTGTGTATATAAAAATGACTACGTGTTCACGGTTTGCAAAAATTTTCCCCAGAGACGCACATGCTTTACAGATACGGTGACTGTAAGCTTTCAAAGCAGTAACATTACCTGCAAGATGTTTTCCAAATCACTGTCGCTACTGTCAGATGCCAGCTCTTTCCCTGCATATTTTCTTTGCTTTTTAACACCGAAGAATAGGTAGAGAGGAACGGTACAAACAGATGACCATACCTGGATAAGGAATCTTTCCATATGTAACGATTTCATACAGGAGAATCCCGAATGACCATACATCGGATTTAATGGTGAAAGATCCATAGTTAATTGCCTCTGGTGCTGTCCATTTAATAGGGAATTTTGCACCTGAAAAAAAGTACAGTCTCAATCAGTCAAAGGCAAATTTAAACACTCGATATTAAGCCATTAAAAGGTCTTTAACAATTTGCCTATGATACCCCTAAATTAGGAAAGTTACCAGCAACTCCAAGAGTTGTCAGCAGGTATGTGCTGCAATATGCATGTTGTCACACTGCATGTCCTATGTCAGAAGTGCAAATAAGATGCCGAAAGTTAGATAGTGCCTTTTGATTCCTAGCTATGGTGAATTTTTGCTAAAATTACAGTCACTATTTTCCCTTCTGCCTAGTGGTCAGGCAACAATCCTACAATTCCCATCATCCAGAACTTCTCAAGTCTTTAACTGACTTTTCTCGTTTTAAAGAAAGTAGGTCTAGCTTCAACATACACTTCAACGCATTTCACATTCAGCCATAGATGCAAAAGCAGCAGCAAGTCACATCTTAAAAAGTCATATCTTAAAATACCGTCTTTCCTGTCTAATTAACTGAATCCAGAAAACCCCAAATAAAAGCAAACTCCTTCCAGTTAAATAAGAAAAGTTCAAGCAGCCTTTGTTGGGGAATATTACATGAGCTCTTCGGACAACAAAGAGTAATACAAGCAGCTTCTCTCTATGCCCTTTTTAGCAGGCTCTATCATTCTGGCACAAAACACCAGGTAAACTAGGGAACTTTTCTGAATGGCAGAAAACACATCAAAGAAACTCAGCATAAAGAATTTATAACCTGAAACGCTCATTTAATCAATATACAATGTCCAGAGCGAGCTAAAAAACACAGATACAGGTTCTGTACCTCTGAAAACCGCCTAATCAGACCCTTGCCTCTGATCTATTGAATTACTGTTACCCAGGGACTGCTGAATAGCTCATCTTCCTTTAATCTCAACTGTAGCGCATTGTTCTCTTTCTTCCTCATATCTTACTTCTTCCACTCTTGTCCTACATTACCACAGTTTCCATCCAGGCTGTGTGAAAATACGACATGCTGTCTTTAAAACAAGAGGGGGAAAGCCAGCCAACAACCCTGCTCAGAAAAGTCACCCTAATGCAATCTCTGCACGGAAATCTTTCACTGCAGCAAACTGACTACACACTTCTTGAAAAGATCCTTGACAACATTAGCAACACACATGTGGCCCAGACAAACATCTTTCATGCTATGATTTCTCCTCTTGCCGGTCCTGACCCTGCTGTGATGTTACCTCCCGCCCCTGTACTGCACAGAGCCATGACCCAGCCCTCCAACATCCCTGCATGTAGCAGCAATGCTGCTGAACATGCAAATCAAGGCTGCAGCTTCTAAAGCAGCTTCAAAAGATGACAAGTTCTGCTAAAAGTTTTCTTGTTACCAGCAACTACAAGCCCTAGGGCTCCTTCCTTTCCCTAAGTGAAAGGAGGTACATATGGCATTGAAAGATGTGAAGAGAAAATAAGAACATATTTTCTTGGCATTTAATTCAGTGGGATGGAAGCTGTGGCTGTGCAATTAACTTGTTCAATTCAGAAAACCTGTGCAGTTAAGTACTCTCAATTTTCTTTGTTCTTCACATTTATTTAAAACAAACTTTTCAAAAAGCCTGGGGAGCACACAAAGGTTATTTGTTTCCTTATTCTTTTTTGAAGTTGTTGGCATTAGAATGCTGCCTCTAGGAAGTTATCATGGCATTTTCTGTCCTTGCTGACCATATTCCTGTTAGATACAGCCTCACTGCCTCCCAGAGGCTGAAGTTTTAAAGACAAAAATAAAAATACATACCTTCCCTTGCTGTATATTCGTTGTCTTCAATGACTCTCGCTAGTCCAAAATCAGCAATTTTGCACATCAGTAAGTCCGAAACCAGAACATTCGCTGCTCTCAAATCTCGATGAATATAATTTTTTCTTTCTATGTATGCCATCCCTTCTGCAATCTGTAACGAAAGCAACAACAACTATTTTGATATTTCAACACCACGCAACACCATCAGCAGGTCTGACCTCTCTGTTCTTTCAAGGTTATCAGCAAAGCCGCATCCATTTATTCATTACCAGTATCTTTGGAGCATTTTTTTAGATGGAAGCAAGGAAAGGGTGATTGCCATGGAAAACCTATGTGTAGATCCAGTCCTGCAAAACTATACTTACAGTAGTAGCTTCAAAAGAATTGTTTGGGTGAATAACAGCTGTCAGGATTAGAGATATGTATTAGAAACATTTCCTGAAACAAAATCTTAATTCAAATGTTCCTAAGATTTCTCCTAAAACATTCTCCTCCCCAAATTATTAACCAGTTTATTTTCCAAATACTAAGAAAATGGAAAGAATTGATAAGTTAAACAAGATACAGATGTTCTTTTAAGGATTGATGAAGCAACAGTGCTGATAAGAGTTAAAAAAAAAACGAAACACAACAACTTTCTATTTACCCAGTATAGGCCTGGACAATCAGGAAACAATTACTAAGAGGGGGCAAACAACTTTATTTTCTTCTATAACAACATGTACCTGTTCATACACGAGGAGTGTTTGGCAACAGCCATCTCTCAGATACTATCATAAGTAAATTTAATTTGTATTTCAGCAGCCCAAATTAATTTCCAAACCAAATTAAAGATGATTAATGTCCTCAAAATATGCACTGGGGATGATTTTTTCAGTATTTGCCCAGACTACCGTTTTTTTTTCCCCTGAAGAAAAACATTTTACTTTTCAGAAAAAAAAAAAGAAACTGAAAGAATAGTTTCTAAACTCAGAGCAATAAAACGTGTAGATTGTATTCTGTCCAAAAGTTTAAGAGGAGCTAGGGAAAAAAAAATAAACCCGGTGCTTGCAAGCCATCAGTTTTTCTCTTCTTTGTGAGACTCTGGTGATGGATCATCCCCAAGCCAGGCTCATGGTCCAGCCTGCGCCGCAGGGACCTCTCCAGGATGTTTGTGGGTGGGTGACAGGCAGCTCACTCTCGGCCACAGGGTTCGAGGAACGCACGACCTCTCGCATTTGCTAACGAAGCAGCAGTAAAGCAGTAAGGGTCCTTCTCCTGTGCCGGTCAGGAGAAGACAAGTGCACGGATCCCTTTGCAGTGGCAGAGGTGCAGTAAAGCAGGCAGGAGCACCTGACCAAATTTTAAAGACAACATCATCACTTCTGCTTATCCATTTTTAAAAAGTCCCGGAGGGGTACTGCGAAGGCACACACTGCTACCACTTACAACACAAAACCACACGGTCTTTTGTTCCTCTTTTTGAGTTTAGGCAGTGGAAAAATAGAGCCACTTGCCCTCCCACCTCCTTCCACTGCAAACCTCTTCTTACAAACAGATATATTATTCTTCAGAGCAGAGTGTTACATTGCCTTTGCACAACGCAGGGGGGTTCTCACCCTAAACCAGAAAGAAACTCCAGTGATGAAGAGAATGAAGAACACCTGCATTTCACATTTTCTAGAAATCAGTAAGACGTTTCATAATAAAGGAAGCAGCTACTAGTGAGTAATTGCCACAGAGTGTCTTATTAGAGACTTACTTCCAGACAAAATAGAAGAGTAGTATTTGATTCCGAGCTGGCTCTGCCTCTCCTCCCCATGCCATTACTTGGGTTTGGGGAGGAATAAGAGATGAAAGGGAAGTTTTTCCTGTAAGATCAATGCTGAGATTGGACTGGCCAGCTTGGCAGATACGACCAAAATGCAGACAGGTCTGCTAACGTCACCAAAAATACATCAACCATCACAAAGGAATCAACTTCCCTCCTACTTCCCTGCACAGATTTAACATTTGGGCAAACTGCTGGCTGGGAAAAACAGAGACATTCGTGATGGCGATATTTCGTTTCCAAACCCAACCAAGCAAAGCCGTTGGAAAGACCACTTTATTTCCTCTTATACAAATAAGACTCACTGAAGTCATCATTTGCTTAGTCACTAACGAAGAATGCGACATCAAACAATCCACTGTTTTCAGCAAATACAAACTACATTTCCGTGAAATTCCTAGACAATGGTTTAGACTGTGTTGAATCGGAGAAATTCAAAGAAGCCATGTATGTACAACCATTTGGGCACGCAAAAAATTCCCAACTAGGAAAAGAATAATGGGCAAGGAATTTTGAATGGGAGAGGGAGGGGAAACACAGCAACTGGACTTCACACATCTGGTCACGTTAAACCTTTGCTTGTGGAAAAAGAAAAATAAAAAGGAGGATTTTTTTATCAAGGGAATGGGTGCCAGAGCCCACATGATAACTCTTTATTATAACTGCAGGCTTTTCATTGCCAAATGATATGTTAACTGTAGAGAAAATCATGGGAACAAAAGAAAATTAAAGCCTTTTTCCGTCTCTTTTAATGATCATTGTTACCTGTCAAGACTGTTCGGCTACCTGTAACTACTACACAGGAGCAGGCTGGGAAAGATAATTTGGGCTTCTGGAATATGTTTTGTGGCCTTTAAGAGAGGATTCTGCCTGTACAACTGTTACCACCAAGAAGGGAGCAGTTTCCCCTTCACGTTTAATGAACTACTGACACGCTTCTAGAAATATCCAAGTTAAATCCTTTTAAAACCAACCAACCTCTCAATACTAGGAATTATGTGTCCAGGCTGAGAATGATGAGTAACTCACTAGCTCCTGGAAGAAATAAATCACTCTACAAGACAGCCTCCATACTGTAAAGCTTCAGCTGAAAGTCACGCAATAAATGAATGACTTGGAGCCACAGTTCTGCAGACAGCTCTGTCAACCCATTTAGGGTGTGATTTCAGCTGGCAGTGCTCTGTCCTCTCTGTTTCTGCTCTTTCTACCCATAAAACAGGGTAATTACTTAACTGTCTGGAACACTTGTAGGTCATTTCACAAATAGGTATAAAATTCTTTCAAAATCCTGAAAGAAAATGGTAACAAAAGCATGGAGCAAACAGTGTTACTTTGAAAACATGCATTCCCTTCCCCCCCCCCCCCCCCTTTTTTTTTTCCAGCTTCTGAAGGTGTTTGGAGAAAGCGGCCAAAGCAGCAGAGGACTTTAAAGCAGGGAGGGAAAACCTAATAAACCAGTGTTTCAGGAGGGGACACTACTGTCACAGAAGAGCTACACCTTCTGAAAAGGTCACTTGGTCACAACTCACAGGCTTCGTTGGTGAAACATCACAGCTGACATGAAACAGCACGTAGAGGGATGGGCAGTTCTGTGCTTTTTTCCAAAAGGTGAAATTCAGCTTCCCCCCCCTCCCCTTCCCCCACAAAAAAAACCCAAACAGGAGAAGTTCTGGATTCCTTCATAGCTCTGTTTTTGAACTCAAAGACATGCTTAATTTCAACTTCCATTTCAAGGTCTGTGATCCTCTTTTGCAACAGTTATTTCAAACAAGCCATCTTTTACACACAGGTTGCAATGCTGTTTCTTCATGCGGGGCAGCGGGGGTTACAGCAACATGTGTAATGGATTCCGCTTGTGCATTTCTAGGCTATACATAAAAATGTGGAATACTAAAGAGGCCAGATGGGTTTGCTTAGGGTCAGCCTGATAGGTTGTTTTTACATCATGCTGAGAATGCATTATATCATGTTGAGAAGGAAAACTAAGTGACAGGGATCAAGAAACAGAGTGGAATAAAAATGAAAGGGAATGAAAGAATGGCCAAATATGATGATTTATATCTTTTTCAGGAAAGCAAATTTTAAACAACTTGGAGTGCCGACAGGTACAACCTCATGGGAAAAAAAGTCTCAGGAATAACCACACCATCAAAAACACCAGCAATTACAAGCACAAGTGCAAACCACACGTATTGTAAAGACAGTGCCTGATGAGAAAAATTTGGCCAAATCTTACATGGTCAGAAACACCCAAAAATGATAAAGTCAAATTACAAAGTATAAAAATATACCCCAATGTGACAAAAATCAGAAGAGTCCACCCACAAAAAGTGCTACAAATAATAAGTATAAGCAGGGAAACCAGAGGTCCATTAGCAACAGGACAAGACCAAGGAAAACATTCACATTAAATTAATGATTAAATTAAATGATGGAGAAGACTACATGCAGGTACTACACAGAACTTTTTAAATGCCTGCCTTTGCTTCAGTCTCGACTGAAAGGGCCAGTGATGCACATGTGGTTAATGTGAATGACAAAGGGGTACGAACACAGGATGGAAAAGGGAAAGAACTGGGTTAGGACAGTTTTCATGGGTGGCTTATGAGACACCTGAAAACTATCAGTAGATCCAAACTCACACATCCTCACTTGCCTGCAAAGCAGGCAAGCAAAATGGGGAAAAAAATGCACGTGATGAATCAGTATTCAAAGTCAAGCCCAGTTTTTATTTAGTTACAAATGAAATCAACTTGGGGGAAAAAACCCAAAAGGACATGACCTTCAATTTCCATGATATTGAGAAACAATCAGGCTAAGAACCTCCCCAATCCTCTCCAGCCCTATTTTATCTATTATTTTAAATGAGATTCATGTAGAAGTGGTTACTTAAAGATGGTTTAGGTATGCTTTTAAAAGGCTTCCCTTTGTGTTGGCAGATGTGGCTTTTTACTCTTTTCAGGATCCATACTATAAAACTACACATGAAACCGCAGACAGTAAAGGCAGGGATTCGTTCATAAAAGCAGCTTCAAAATTCCCTCTGTATTGCCACTGTCTGCGAGACAAGTGGGGCTGAACGGCTGCGCTCGCTCCTTGGGGCTGGGATGCTGCCCCTGAGGGTCCAGCCGTGACCAGGATATCTCGGCTGCATCCCTCATCCTTTGCTCGGTGGGTTGGGGACGGTGGCCTCAGAGATGCACTCGGCCGCCCACCAGCTCAGGCCCGGGGCTCGGCGGGATGATCCTGCCAAAGCAGGTACAGCAGCCCAAAAATCAGAATGGAAATGAGTGCAAAGCACTTAGGATAGGAGGGAGCATCCTGCTGGTGAAGTTTAAGCA